TATTTTGGTTAAAACATTTAACTTTCTTTAGAGAAATCAGACACTTTAGCCGCCAGGGAGCGGATTCCATATTAGGGTTGTAGATTCCTCCTATAATTAACAGTAAGCAGCCATGAAAATAATCCTGTGCCTCAAGCCCTAAGAATAATCACAGTTGGCCGGAAGGAAATTAGCTGTCAGCCTCATGACAGAAGGAATTTAACGTGTTCAGTCCCTTCCCCCTTGCTCCTCCTTTATTTACCTCTAGATCGGGGCTCCCAGATGTGAGGTGGGTTATGGCCAGCCGGGCTCCGGCTGGCTTCTCTCCCACACAGACAGAGGGAGCAGCTGGGGGATGGTAGCTGTCATCCCACCTGTACAGCACATGATTGCCGCTAGTGCTTCGAGGTCTTGTGTCTCATTCAAATCCCGCCCCAGGGAGGACTGATCTTATTGGCCCCATTTTACTCCTAAGAAAGAGTGAAGTGGCTTTTGGGGGCTCACAGCCAACAAGTGGCAGGAACTGAAACCTGCTTTTTCTACCCCAAAGTGGTGGGATCTCCAAGGAGGAGGAGGGGGGGGATCAAGAAGGAATTTAGGCCTCCCATGATCAGTGGTGCCGCCTCCAACCGGCCTCTGAAATGGACAGCTGACCACGATGTCAAACAGCTTAAACCCCACCCAACACCTCAAACTAGGCGACCTTACATGTCGCCTTTGGAGAAACAATGAAGCCAGCGCTCTGGGGTGGAGTTTTTGTCATCCATCTATCCCCCTAGTGGTCGATGGTGACTTTAGGAATGGTTGGTGTGAGGAATGACGTGATTATTTTGGCCTCTGGACCACTTTCCTGGGCCAGTAACATTCGATGTTACTTTTGCTAGCTAAGGCCATGGTTCCACGATTCCTTACTTTGTTGGCTATGAGAGCTCTTCCAAACATTAAGAAGCCAAGTACATAATCTGGGAATCTGATCTAGGGACGCACAAAGAAGACTGGGTGATGTGGGAAGATAAACTGCCTTTTTATTCCTAAAATATTAATAAGCTGTGATTAGGATTTGGAGAGCTTTTCTCCACCACGTTGGAAAGGACCATCAATTCATTTATGTGGGAGAGAAGTGGGTTAACTTGATGGGCATGGGGGGAAATGACAATATCACCCACTGTTCCTGGGCCAAGGCAAGATTTCCCAGCCAGCAGCCTCAGTGTAATTCGACACAATGAGAAACTGTTGTTCGAGTAATTCACATGGACCATCTCTTTGCCAGCTTCAATTTTGTTCACAGATACGAAGTTGAATAAATGCGAAGAATGACTTCTGATTGTCGCTGGGATGGAAAATAGATGCTTAAATTCCTACCCCATGGGTGGATTTTTTTCTCTTTCTGAAAATATATTAATCATATATTGTGTCCAACAATGGGCAGAATTGGGGCTAAGCCAACCTCTTTGGCTTGAAACTAATATTTGGGCTGAGTGGAAGCTTATTTCCTCTTCCTCAGAGTTTTCTTTCTACCCCCTCTACTTTCCAATTAGCCTGGTCCATATGCTTTCATACCATACAGCCTGTGTTTGCTACTTACAATATTCATAGTTCTATATTTTAAACTATATATCTCTTAATTTGAATATATCCTAAAGCTCAGCAAAGAAGTGAAAATGATAAACATCAGTGTAGATGCAATTTTTTAAAATGGTGAATGCAAAACCCACGTGAAGAAACAGAAGAAAGAAGAAAGAACATTCATGGAAATTAGAAGTAGAAAAGAAATATGAAATAAAAACAGGAGAATTTTAACAAATAAGAAAATATTTTTTGAAAGTGTCAATAAATTGAAAAAAATGAATTAAGTGGATATTTTCATGGCAAATTTTACCTAACCCTAAGATAATTACCTCTAAAGATGTTCCATTGTCTGAAAATGTTACCAGTGACATCTTTCAGACTTTTACAAAGACAGCTAATTCCATATTATATTTTTCCAGATAGAAAAACAAAAGCTGGCCAGTGTAGCTAAATGGTTAGACCATCAGCCCACACAGCAAAGGGCCACAGGTTCAATTCCTGGTCAAGGGCACATACCTGGATTGCAGGTTCGATCCCGGTCCCAGTTGGGGCATGTGCAGAGGCAACCAATAGATGTTTCTCACATCAATGTTTCTCTCCTTCTCCTCCCTCCCTTCCACTCTCTCTAAAAATCAATGGAAAAAAAATATCCTCAGGTGAGGATTAACAAAAAGAAAAAAAAAGAAAATATTTACATTTAAGTAACATAAAGTAGAGACTGGAAAGCATATCCTCCCTTCTCCCCAGCATCTGTTTTTTCTGTTTGTTGTTGTTTTTTAGTGACTCTACTGAACTGAGTGTTTACAAACTTTGTATTATTTGTTGTGTGTGGCCACTGAAGTTTCCACTCAGCTTATTAACTAGCTAATGCTTGGACCAAAACATTTCTCTAGGTGACATGGCACCAGTTAGGGTTTTTCAAAATGCTGACACGCCGAGCTCAAAAGGTTCGCCATCACTGAACTAGGAGCTCACGGTTTAATTCACGGTCAGGACACATGTCCAGGTGGCGGGCTCAATCCCCAGTGTGGGGCGTGCAGGAGGCAGGCAATCAATGATTCCCATCATTGATGTTTCTATCTCTCTCTTCCTCTCCCTTCCTCTCTGAAATCAATAAATACATATTTCAATTAAAAAAAACTCAACATGCCATCATGCAGAACAATTGCTCCTCAGGGGCCAGAAGCACTTGGGAACATTTCCCAGGGGCCAAGAGGTCCCCTGGGCTGACATCGGAAATCAGTGCAATACGGGTCACGAGGAGATGGAAGAACAAAGACCAAGTGCTCAAAGCCCTTGAACGTCAGCGTGACCTGAAGACCAGCACAAAGTCAATATCAAGGCTAGAGTGGTGAAAGGCACAGGTTCAAGCTGAGGTGATCTGTTATAGCGACGTACTAGGACGTCTTAGAGGTCAGTGAGACCTCATGCTATCAGAAGCGTCAAGTACAGCAATTTAATTATGTTAATAATATTAGAAAAAATCAATGTGAACTCATGATGTTAAAAAGCAATATTTTCCAGTTAGAAGTGTCTCCGCAGTAGCATTTTCTTCACTGCCTGTTCTCACATGAATTCCTAGATGCCCGGATTTGGATGTCCAATACTTCACTGGAAGGAAACTAGCACTCCCTGACATGTACATGCCTGTGCTTGTGTGTGTGTGCGCGCACACATACACACACACACACACACACACGAAGAATGAGCCTGGAAAACCCTACTGTTGCCAGAAACAGAGATACTTTCAAAGATGCCAGGGACAGGGCTGAAAGGATACAAGATCTAGCTTAGAGTTCTCCCACTGGCCAAGTTATAATTTGAGCATCCAAAAGGGCATAATAATAGTGGTTAATTGAAATATGATGAGTTTGTGAAAGGCCATAACTTCATAATGATATTAAGAAATAAGTTAATAGAAAGTACACTAAAGGTAATGAGGATGAGCAAAGAAGTTGGGCTATTATGGGACCTATTTAATTTTTTATTAATTTCAATGAGAGGAGGTTAGCATACATTGATGTTTTTATCTTCTATCAACTGTTTCTTATTTTATTTTATTGTTGTTAATCCTAAGAATATTTTTCCATTGATTTTTAGAGAGAGTTAAAGGAAGGGGGAGAGACAGGGAGACAGAAACATCGATGTGAGAGAGACACATTGATTGGATGCCTCCTGCATGCACCCTAGCCAGGATTGGGGACAAGGTACATGCCCTTGACCAGAATTGAACCCGGGACAGTTTCAGGCCAACACTCTTTACACTGAGCCATACTTTTCACACACCTACCATATATTAGACACAATATTTATCATTTGGGGTCATTATAATAACCCTTTATTATACTCAGTTTACAGATAAGGAAGTTAAAGGTCATAGATATGAAATGACTTTCTCAAGAACACACAATTTATACGGGAGTTAAAATTTGTCCCCGGGACTTTATGACAACAATCTTTGCCTTGCATACCGCATTACTTTGTTTCTCTGGGGGCTTTATTTTAGGCACATCCTGTCTTTTCCACTCTTGGTTTCCTGGAGAGCACATTTCCCTTCAACTCCTGCTCTCAGAAGCCAAACCCTGAAAGTTGCCCTCATAGGGACCATCCTAGTCCCTAAACTTAACAGGATTAAGTTTCTCCAATCTGCCAGGCACAGGTAATATGGCCTCCCTCTTGACTCTAATGTCTTCCACACCTGCCGATTATGGGCAAGTCGGAGAGTGAGGTGGGATGCAGGAAGGAGGAGGTAGTTCGGAGAGCGATGTAGCAGGGCTGTGGGCGTGGGGAGGACAGAAAGACAGAGGATGACAGAAGAAACCTGTGCAGAATTCAAGGTTCTTTTATGTCACAATGACCCATTAAACTGCAAGACCCATTTTTAGTGGGACCTCATCCAAGGTGCACCGCTTTCATCATCACCCTTCCCCTCCTCCACCCTCACAGGGCCCTTGGGTATTCTTAGCGCTGAGAGCTCAAGGTCTTATTTCATAATTGACTTGTCCCAGAGGGCCCGAGTGCTAGCAAGAAAGGACAGCTCGCTTGAAGAGGAACAAAGACTAAAAAGCTTGTGGTTATTTTAAAGCCTCTATTGAATGGACTGACCAAGGTACTGGGGACCGTCCATGATGGCACTTAAAGCAATAAGCCACAGGTAAA